GTTAATGCTGTCGATTAAAGCTATGTTTTTCACTCATTTGCATGAACAACGTAATGCTCGACTAGGAAATGGTGGAACGTTAACAAACAAATGCGTACGTATATAATACTAATATATCTCATTAGTGTTGTTGTGAATATCAAATATTTTAAAGAATAGGGGATTTAAAAACAAATAGAAGTACAGAAAGAGAGAATCAGAATGAAAATTAAAATTGTTATTTATTAGACGCTTTAAGACTGTTTGTATGTCGCCTAAATCGTAAATATTACAAGAAAAAAATTTAATTGCCACAATTGTAACGTGATATAAAAAACAAACATAAAAAAAGAAAAATTAAAATATAATATTTAATGAAACAAGATAAAAAAGAGAGACATGACACACGTATGGCTCTGTGTATGCATGCGCGCGCGCGCGCGCGCGTGTGTGTGTGTGTGTGTGTGTGTGTGTGTGTGAAATTGTGTACAAGGGACGCATATAATAAAAGTCTCTATGCATACATATTAAAACAGACAAATTGAACAGATTGTTGTACGATTGTTAATTAATGGTCATGACAATATATGATTATTGAATTAGTGAGACAGGAAGGGAGAGGATTTAATTACGCGTGAAAATATTCGTGCGATCTATGATACGAAGCAATTCCATGGAGAGATGCAAGATTTCGATAACCATGGAAACTATTTTGAAAGAGCTTAGGTCACAATGCCATATTTCTGCAATCGTTGACGGCCGAATGAAGCCTTTGACAGCAACCATTTCTGAAAATGCTCCATAGCGTCTTTGAGAATTTCACCGTCGCTCGAAAAGAGATGAAAGGATTCGTATTCCCGTTATGGTATTGCGCGATATGTACATCAAACGCAAAACAAATTTGTGCGCGCACGAGGGACGCATTGTGATATCATAAGGTATCATAAGCGACGCTCGTGATTCCTTCTTCTCCTTCGGTGCTCTCGTCCGTTCATCTTACGGGATGTAATCCCGCTGGCAACGACATTTCCGGTATACGTAGTAATGTGGAAAGACATTTCCACAGTGGCGATTCAATTCTCGACACGAAGTACTGAGACAGTGTAGATGCGCTTGAAGAAGGAAATATTATTTGACATCCGATATATTGCTTTGTCATAAACGAAAAAGCATGCTTTGGAAAGAAATAGCTGACATATTCTGATAGCTTAAATACTTGTTGTCTATGCACAAATTGCTATTTATTATACTTATGATTTACGATTTCATAGTTTTACGTTAATTAAGAAAATGAAAATAGGAAACTAAAATCTGTTAGTACCTTCTTTTCTTAAAATATTGTATCTTCTATAAAGAAATTGTATAAAACTGTGATAAAAAAAAATTATTTTTTATTATTTTTTGTTTAATTCCGAAAAATAAAAAACTAACTTTACAATCTTTTTTTTATGTATTTGATTAATTTTATGTATTTATTTTTTATATGTGTTTAATGTATTTATAATAAGTTACCTATCCTTTATTAATTTTACTAACATTCTTCTGTACCAAAAAATTTAATTATAAAAGAATTATACTATTAGGTGTTGGAATTAATTCGTAGCGTTTTACAAGTGATGGGAAGTACTTTCATTAATGTATTTTTTAATGCTCATGTGAAATAAATAACATTCTTTCATTAAAAACGCTACGAATTAATTCCAACACCTAATATAATAAGGTGAACCACAAATGTTTTATAGCAGCTACGTTAAATAAATAGAAAGTGTTTAATTAAATAAAGCGATTCGCAAGAAGGTAGATCATATCGCAAATTGGTAAAATCAAAAAGTTGCTTTACACTCTTTTATGCGCAGTGCATGACTGATCACATCGTTTGATTAATCAAAAAGCCCAATTCATCTTTACGCAGCTTTATCAATGCATTAACGACGACACAATTTACGCTTTAAATTTAAATGCACGCGCTCGGCAATTTTACTGTATTTGTGTTAACAAAAAAACTCGCATAGTAAACAATCTATAAAATGTGGCATTGGTCGCCATCAAATCTCTATACGTTCAAATGAACGAAATTGAGAATTGCAGAATTCGTGCAAATTTGGGAGTATTATAAAAGTTAATAAAAGCTCAAAGTTTTTTATGTTTTATCAGTAATTAAATTTTCATATTTTTCACAATAATATAATTTTTACAAAAAGTTGATTGATATTTGAACATTTTTTCCATTTCATTTTATAGTTTTTGCAATTTAAAAGAAATGAAGATATACAGTTTTTTATAGTTAAATAAATAGTCGTCAGCTTTTTTAATTTAATTTTTCCTTTAGGTATTCGCAATTTCTTTTACACTGTCTTCTATTTTAAAATCATTAAAAACATGTTACAGTATTTATCTTAAACGACACATGTGTTATATAGTGATGTATTATAGAATAACTTATGATATGTATATGTATTTACGTCACGTGGGGATTTACGCTGCAGAAGTCAGAAGAAATACGATAAATGGAGTGGAGGTAATTTGCGCAATCACTCTGTTATATACCTTTATGTTATATTAGTTTTGTGTTACGATTTTAATATTTTACTATTAATATTAATAAAATTACCATCAGTTGAATCGATTTGTCAATAACAATGGCTGCATTCCATTTAATGCTCATAACGCTCGCGATCGTTTGTTCTTGTTTAACATTTGATAAACAACAAGAATGAAATGATTCCACGAGCGTTGTTATATGAAACGCAGTCGTAGTAAGTAGTGCAATAATATATCATAACTAGAGTCCGATTAGTTTTTTACCTTCGGCTGAAATCGAAAACCAATATTTGATTTTTATTCAATTTCCGCCGAAACTGAAACTAAAAGCGAAATGTTTGGATAAATCTTATATATGATTTTCAGAAAATTATTGGAAAGTATCAAAATATATAAAATTTATATATTCTTTTAAAAATAAGGTTTTATTAATAATGAAGGGGAATCATAATTAATTAATTAATTAATTAATTAAATTAAATTTAATAATTTTAAATAATAAGATTGAATATTATAATTATTATATAATAATAAATAATACTTATTATTATCATTATTTTAATTACTTAATTTAATAATTTAATTTTATTGTTATTTTATTATTATCATTAATTTAATTATTCAACTTATTTAAGAAACAATAATTATTATTCTTTAAATTATAAGAAATTCTTATAAATTGTACATAGAGAATTTCAGACACTAGACGTATGGTGATTTAGCAAGAAAAAAGGAGATAGCATCAGCGTGAAGCAATCAGTGCCGATAGACTGATGATAATATAATTTTTCGAACGACAAGTTGCAACTTGTACAGTTTCGATTGAAACCGGAACTCCCGAAACTCTGATTTTTTATCGAAACTGATCGAAACCGAAACCAAAATTGAAATTTCGGTTGGAATTTCTAATCATAACGCATTACGTAAAACATATACCTCATATCATAACACTTGTAATATATATAAAAAATTATAATTATTATCTGTTATCTTTATATTTATTTGTATAATTATTATTCATATTATATTATATTTTAAAAATTATTTACTTTATGTCTTATTTCTAAGCATTATATTTGTAAATTTTTTATGAGCCATATATTTTACCTATGAATAGTTGTATATCCCATTCTTACGAGATATACGACAAAAATACAAAAATTTCCAAAATTTTTTTTTTACGAAAAATAACTATTTTGTAATGTTTTTTTCATAGTAGTAAGCAGTACAAAGTTTTTAGTGGCATAGTTCATTTAAACATATAATAATATAAACATAGTAAATAATACTTAATAAGTTAAGTTTTTGTTAGATGCTGCGTATGTACCAAAGTTACCCTGTAATGTTATATAGTGGAGCTAATTGTATATCGAATCTATCGTTGAATGTGAGAAATAAGAGATCATTATTACTCTATTATATTGCCATTATATCGTTCGCGTTTACCTCGTATTTTGTAATTTCCCCATTCTCTCATAATTACGCAAACATCTTACTCTCTAAATCTAAACCAGTGAATAGTCACTAAATTACGCAGTGGCATACTTGGCACTGATAATCAGTGAAGTTCAACTAAAAAAAGGAAGAATGTTTGAGCATTATATAATTAAAATATTGACATTTGCATGTTAATTTCAATCTTCCAATATCATATTCATTGAACTTAAGCACAAAAGGTTAGTTACAACAAGGTTAGTTAGATCACATAATAAAGATTAGCTAGATTAGGAATCTCACATTTAATTCACTGATTATCATTGGCATATTTGGCACTGATACCAGTGCCAATCTGATTTAGATTTAGAGAGTATATAACATAATTGAATTGAGCTGAAATAAATTTTTGAAAATTACCTCGATTGTTTTTAATTCACGATCTGTTGACACCGAACTGTGTTAATTGATACAAACGTGTGTCTCAATGTAACTTTTATCAATTTACTAATTTTATTGCATTAACTAACTTCTCGATGTTTCGATTATTTTCGCCTGAAACGCAAATTATCCACCTAAATGAAAAAATTCATTTTGATGTCATAATTTATTTGTGTTGATTTATGACGAGTCGGTACAGGTGCCCGTTTTATTCACGACTTTTCGTTCTCTCTCATTCAAACTATCCGTGCGCGCCTAATGAAATATAATTTGTCGTCGTCGGAGTTTTACGTCGGCCAGTTATAAATAACGGAAACGCTTTATCGCGAGAATATTAAATCATTACGCACTCTCGCTTTTTCTCTCTTACCCTCCATCTTAGCATTTTGTCGCGCGATAATTTGCCGTAATAATGACAAATTTCCCAAATTTTTCGGCGCTGGCGAACTGATCTTAATGGAATTCTCCTATCATTTTCTTCTTTTCCCATCGTAACGCCAGGTTTTAATCTTGCTCGTTGCATTGTGGCGCGAGAAAAATGTTACGGGTGCATTCTTTATGTGCGGACTGGCGTTTTAATATGAACGGCGTCGATCTTGTTTCAGGATCCGGCATCAAGGTGCCAATGGCCATTCTGAATTGTCTCTATGCCCGCCAATTGTGCTACGAGGATCCGTCATGCAGCGCCATATTGGAGATTATACCGAGAGTCTGCGGTCCAGAATTAGGTAAGTCGATTGGATTACTTTTTCTTAGCATTTGCAGTAATTAATTAATTACTCTGGCTTGTAAATTAATTGTTAATAATACTTTATTTACGCTGCGACATTTATAACCCTGCACATTTCTTGCAATTCAGAATATTGATTTAAATTCGAATTAATGATGTTCGAAACAATGACTACCGCGGTAGTTAATTATTATCATCTTATCACTTATTGAATATATTACTTATAGGATATATAATTTTTTTAACTTCTTGAATGGAATCGGATTATTTTTAAGTTCTAATTTCATAGGTTTTAATATCTTTTATCGAAGTTTTATCAGTTTCAAGAATGTATTTTGTAATTTATAATGTGCGTGATTATAAACTATAATAATTCGTTTTAATATAATTGTTCCTTATTCACAAATTTCTATAAAACTATGAGTTCTGAACATTATCTTGTAATTTATTATTATTTTTTTTTATTAACGTCAGATTTTACTCTTATAAACATATTCTTTCACAAATCACAATTAATTGTATTAAATTATCATAACAAAAGTTTGAACGTGATTACGAATATATGTGAATTATTTATTCAACAATTAAAGATATAGAATGAAACCATTAACGTGATCGATTATACATCTTACTCTTTTTTCTATGTACTTTTTAATCGATATATTATTCATCCGGATTATATTAGCAATAATTTACGCAACATGAATCGACAAATCAAAAAGCTTGCGCAAATATGATAGTCATAATCGGATGCAATCTAGTCAATCTGCAAAATAAAAACTGAAGCATTCGCTCTGCATCGGTATTGTTTGTTCCATTTTTATTTATATAATCCATCATCATTCATGTTCCGATCAAATATGGTATCGACTCTTACTGGAGAAATAAGATATTGTACGGTATAATCTATCGGTTTACAGGAAAATTCTGGCGAGAGCTTTTAGTTTTTTGCAATAGGTCGTTCAATACTTAGTTTCGGGCAATATATTATTCATACATCCCTTGTAATAATCATGGGTCCTAATAGCTCACATATGATTCGTAAAATCTCATATTAGTTCATGTAAAATAAAAAGTGGCCCGCGAGAGCAGCAGCGTCACATTTGAAATTTTACGACGTGGCGGCGCCGTACCGCATTTCCATAAAATTTACATGCGGATTCCGAAATCCCAAGGAATTTCTTATGGAAACCATGATGAAATTAATGTCTAAATTTTGAATTCCGTGTGGAAGTACCACAGAACTCCTGGAAATATCTTGCAATTTTTATAGTGACGAACATTAATTCATTGAAATTATTTTTACCGTTTTACTTCGTGTTTGATGGTGTAAACTTTATATAGTACTTATGAAGTAAATTTTTGTTTATTCTATTGATATGAGGATGACTCCTAAGAATATTATCTCCGTAACATTTATCTATGACTTTACATATCGCATTTAAATATCTATAATTTATAACCTTAATAATTTTATATAACTTTGAGAATCCTCTACTTCTAATCTTTAACTTCTTTTATCGAATTCACAATGCCACAGTTTTTTCTTGAAATAATTATGAATCATAACGGATATCGCGAGCGGCAATCTCGTATTGGACATTGATAAATAAAAAGTATTGCTCGTCGCGTCGTTCTTGAAACAGAAGTAAAAGCCTCAGTAGGTTTTCCGAAGCTAAAAGCTTTCCGAAAGCAGTACCATTTGTTTTACTTTCGTCCGGGCGATTACATGATAGATTATTCACGTAACTCCTCGGTATCAGAAAGGAGAACGGAAGCCGCGGCATAAATCACAATGGACGGTGTCTTTGTTTTAAAAAGCCGCGTGCGCGCGCTCCCACTACGTCGAACAAAATAAAATATATAACGACGTTCGTGCGCTCTCTCAACCTCATCCAAAAGCGGACTGCTTTTTAATGCAACACACGCCATTTTGCATTTTGCACGTCGACGACGAGGTTTGCGAGAACTTCGAGCGCGTTTCTTGCGACAGTTGTGACATAATATACAGCGGTATTCCGTTTGCGATTAATAGATAGAAGGAAGTGACGACAAAGCTTTGTGTAATTATAGCATTATTATTTAAAGTATTTAAACGTAAATGGGTGGTAATGATTTGAAAAGTTAAGTCCTACCTTTTAATAAAATTTTTTAAATATTTAATAACGTAATAATTTATCTATTTTCATATCAGACTTTGACATCAATTACACAAAAGAAAATTATTTTTATTTTTATTTTTATCCACAAATTTTATCTGTTTCTTATATAAAATTCAAAAGATTTATTGATAATTTTCAATTACGCCAAATTCTTTCCTTATTTCCTTTTTCTATATAATTCAAAATTTGTCTTTTATTAAAAATTTCTTTTGTCTGTTTTTCTCTGTTCATTTAAAATACTTCCTCTCTTTCTCTCGTACAGTATATATTTCAATGAAATTTTCTTTTAACTTTATTAATTTATTTTGATTTACATATTATAATTACATATATTTACATAATATAATTTTATTATTTCATTTTTATTAATTTCATTAATTTCACTTTACACATTTTTGAAAATGAGCAACTTATTATAAATAAGAATGCAAGAACAACTTCAAGAATTTTTGCTTTCTATTGATAACATGTATTTCCTCGCTGTCAATCTAACAATTAAATAGGCGCTAGATTGCCATCTAGCGTGGCAATAAGATTTATCGGTGTCGAGGATAATTTACAGTTTGCACTACGATCGCCCGTAACGCGATTTCCATTTGGATGCGACGAAGGAAAAAGATGCGACTGCAGTAGGATGGTGGAGGAATAACGAGGGAGGGAAGAACGAGGTTGTCGATCGTCTCCTCTCAAGCTGTCCTCGTTTTCTCTCTCTCGTTACGATTGGTGGTGGTGAGGTGGAAAACTCAACTTCGCACCACACCTTTCGATTTCGTCATTGAATTAATCACTCCCACGAGGACAATTATTCCAGGAAAGCTTAAATAAGTCTACCGTCGAGGTTTAAAAATGCTTCTCGGCGCAACGATTAAGCGTAACAATTGTTCCGATTTAATAATTATTCTTTTTTCTTTATTTATTACACGCTAACGAGAAAAATGAAAAACGAGAAATGAATTTATTATTTATTGCCTCGGGTAAGATTTCCGCAATCCATGCTGTTAAACGTGAAACAGCATCAATATGAAATGCAATGAGTTACGCATTTTTTTGATAAATAAAATGTAATTATACGCATTTGGTATTACGTTACATGCGTGAATAACCTAAACAAAAATAAATAACTAAATGTTAACTAAAATTAATAAATTTTAATTTTTAGTTAACATTACAATCCGAAGCGCCACTAAGTATTAAGATGTTGAACTAATATATATATTATTCAAACGAATGAATTAATTTCAGAAATAATAATTACGTGTCGATATGGTTGTCGACATTAACGCAATTAATCTGAAATGTAATAATCCCCCCAAAATTCCCCAAATTAATCTTAAAAAACTGTAATAAACTTATTTTTTTAATTTTTAGTATTCTGCTTGTTACAGAATAAAATTTAAATAATATTTCTAAATCCTTTTTCTACTTAGGTTTTAAATTAAGTAGAAGCAATGATCTTAAAATTTATTTTTTATGTATAACAGACTGAAAATGACTATTTTAACGCGTGGATTGATTAAAAACGTATGACGTAACGTAGTAATTATCATTTTTAACTTTGTTAAAAATACTTCACAAAAAATAAGTTTAACCTCATTTCCATGGGGTAATGTGATGAAAAATTTAAAAAATTCCATCCTTTTTTTCGGTTTGCTAATAAAAAAATTGATTCTAACATTGAAGAAGCAGAATAAGCACAGTAAATTATATTAATCCAATTTGAATTTGCAAACTTGAAAGAGAGCTTTGAATAATCTATGGATTTAAAAATAAAGTAAACAAATTAATTATACTTTTTTCAAATCTCTAACTTCAGAGTGAAGAATATACTTAACTTGAACTTGTATTAGTAATATCTGAAGGCATTTATTTATCTTTGATATTAAATAGAACTAAAGTGGCTTTTAATTGATTATGTTTGAAAGTTTTATTGAAGAGTTATAAATTTTGCAAATGATTGAAAGTCACACTATAGATACATATCATTCTCGATTCACTAATATTTACTTAAAATCAGGATATTTATTTTTAATAAAACTTTTTCCAAATTTGGATGTTTGTTTTTTGCAATCTTGATACAAATCTTTATTGCGACTCTAAGTGGATGAATTCGAGGAGATCGAAAAACGTGTATCTATTTTTTTTTAATTTTTTGTGGTTGATTATCGTTATTAGAGTCAAGATTTTTATCAAGATTGCAAGAAAAAAACATTAAAATTCAAAAAAGTTCTTATATTATATCTAAATAATTATCAAAATTAAATTTATAAGTTAAATTGCAAAAACTTAAGTATTTTAACTATTTCTAATAGTAAAAAATGTATTGATAATTACATTAAACATAGAAATAAACTAAATAAATGACAAGATGAAAGTACGCTAATCCATATGATCAAAATTTCGAATAATTTCTGTTGTTAATGACAAAAGCTATTTATACGCGAATTGCAGCGAACTGTGATACCATTCAATTGCTGCACAGAGATATCCGCGTGCAAGAGATCTTCATTTTCTGCATAACGAGATTATTATCCTGCTCGCAAAATTATATTTAGCTACACATGTATATATATATATATATATATATATATATATCACGCATTTTCTTTTTCAGTCAGTATTATAGATATCTGCAATTGATGTGATCATTGCGTGGCTAATAGATATTATTATTTAAGAAATTAACCACTTGTTACATTTAGTTCACGATTACAAAAATATTTCTTTCTCTCTTTTAGATTTAAAAAAACCTCTTCTACTTATCAAATTTAAATAAAATAAAATTATGATATTGTTTTAGAGACATTAGAGTATTGTTTATATTTAGAGTATTGTTAGA